CAGATTACGAGATAGTCAATAAGTGAGGAGAAGGTGTACTTATCTGCGTAAGATAACACATAGCTCACCTTTTCAAAAACTATTCTTGAGTGGATACCATTTTAAAATATGTCACTAAGTAGCTGTCAGATCCAGGCATGTAGGGCAGGAAAAAACTATTGTGTGGTTAAAGCCTTTAGTTCAGAAGATCCACAATTCAGATTAACTTGGCTCCAGTGGCATCACTAGGGGGGTGCAGAGGGTACAGACAACACAGGGTGACACTTGTCAGAGGGGTAACACCAAAATGACTGCCTAAAATTTTTGTGCAGTGTTTCAGCAGAAATTTATTATTTTTTATAAAAATATCCCTCTAGTTAGTTATAATAACAAAAACATTTTTCATAAGCTCAGCTTACATGTATCAATATACCTACCAGGCTAAAACTGTATGCTAATTTACTTTTTGAGCCTCCTAATGCACTATAGTCAGAGTTGTCATTACGACCCAATTACAATGGCCCTTCAAATTACCTGGTTTCTTCTGCACGCGCTACAAGCATGTGCTGTTGTTTTCATTGCTTCCAGTGTTTTTATAGTTGATGATTTTGTCAAATTTTCTGATGTTTTAGCTATAATATTATGGTAATTAGTATTTGTGAACCTATATCAATATTTTTTCTTTTTGAATGAAGTAGTAATTAAAGGAAAAGAAGGAGTGATATATGGGAATTATGATTTATGAGCGAGATTAGTAAAATATATTACTAAAGATTTATTTTATTTAGATCCACATTCAGTACCCATAGAAGCAGCAGTCAAGAAATCAAACAATGTATTGCATTAGGCAAATCTGCTGCATAAGTCCCCTTAGAAGTGTTAAAAAGCAAAGATATCACTTTGAGGACTAAGGTGCACCTGATCCAAGCCATGCTATTTTCAATCACCTAATATGCATGTGAAAGCTGGACAATGAATAAGAAAGACCAAAGAAGAATTGACGCCTTTAAATTATGGTGTTGGTGAAGAATGTTGAATTGAATATACCATGGACTGCCAGAAGAACAAACACATCTGTCTTGGAAGAAGTATAGCTGAGGATAGTGAGACTTTGTCTCATGTACTTTGGACATGTTATCAGAGAAGACCAGTCCTGGAGAAGGACATTATTCTTGGTAAGGTAGAGGGTCAGCAAAAAAGAGAAGGACCATCAATGAGATGGATTGACACAGTGGCTGCAACGATGGGCTCAAACATAGCAACAATTGTGAGGATGGCGCAGGACCAGGCAGTGTTTCGTTCTGTTGTACATGGGGTCCCTATGAGTCGGAACCAACTTGATGGCACCTAACAACAACAACAACAAGGATTCTGTATGATCTGATACAGGAGGAAGTCCATGGGAGGGTGATGCTATGAGTTATCACACTGGTTGACACCAACCCTAGTGACATCACTGCTTGACTCTCAGGGTACGATGGAGTGTTCTCTTTAGGAGACAGAAGAGACAGGCTGGTGGAGAATTATGAGTCAGGAGTCAAGTCACGAGCTGAGTTCATGTCATAGTTTTCTAAACGGTCATCTGTAGAACACCTATGTCAAAATCACCCATCTGCTTTTGAAAATAAAAATCCAGAGTCCCTCTGCAGACCTACTGCTTCATACCATTTGGGTAATTTTGTGCACATCTGGATACAGGGACTCAAAAGATGTTTTCTCTTCCTCTTCCCCTTCTCTGGTGCAGTTCTGTTAAGATCTTCTCAGTGTTCACTCCATCTGGAAGACTTTACCTCTTTGCCATTAATTGGCTGCCAGATGTGCCTGCGGTTGCATTTTCTTTGTTTCAACTCCAGCAGAAAAAGTGAGCCTGCCCTTTCCGTAGCTAAAGTAAAAGTCCCAGCAGTGAAAAATCCCCAGCCATTAAAAATCCCTGCTATGGGTAAAGGATAAAACAATGGCTCAATCACATTTTATGAGAGAGGCCTTGGCAGTCATCTCTATGACAACTGGCTACCACAGTAGGGAGATTCTTAGCCTGAGCCTGGTGAGCTCAGGTGACTAAGCCAGGCTCTGTGTAATGTGTTAACACTTGCTCACCTTGAGTAATTCATCACTCCTTTTCATAATTTATTTTGTGCAATTATTTCCCCTAAGGAAAAAAAGTAGAGGAAGGGACCTCAGTATTCCTTCTTTTAAATGACAGGGAGCTGAAATCAAAATGCCTTATGTTTGTGGCCAAAATTAATATGAAAGACAACAAAAAAAATTTTAGCAATAAAAATAATTCCCCAAAGTCAAAGGCATAAAAATGCCAGCTGGCTTTCACAAATACGTTTTGGGTCATGTATACCATGCTAAAAAATGAAATTAGACTTGGGATCTTTCCAAAGGAAGGCTAGAGTAATTTTCATCTACAGAAAGTTATTTTCTCTGTTGAGCACTAGGTAACCGTCATCATAAACTGTGATCTGTTCTCTCCTATATTACACATGTGAAGTGTTAGTTGGGTCAATGTCTTAGTGAAATAAATTTTAGGAGAGGCCATCTTCTGTGTCTTATACACGTATTTTATTATCAATATTATGCTGGAATACTTTAATAGCAGTTATTAAGGAGATAATTCTGCACCTGCTTTCTGATTGCTAGAAAATTGGTGCCTGTCGTCTTTGGAATATTATTTTCTAATATAGTTTTGTTCTTCATCCCTGTAATAGGGCTTTTAAACTATTTTAAAAGGTGTTTTTGTAGCTACATTCATCACAGGATATGTGTTTTAGAGTTCCTTCCCCCGGTCCCCCTGCAGTTTTTCAGCATTCTTTATTACAATCCTTTGTTTTGTATTTTATATGTAAAATAAACTCTGTAGCAACTTAAACAGCTTCCATTCAGAGTTTTGATGGAGAAAAGTCTTTCCCATATTTTCTTCTTACATCAGCTAATTAAATATTAACAGTCTACCCTGTGCCAGTGTGCTGGGTTCCAGATACACACTGGTGAACAATGCTGACTTCTTTTTAAATCTCTATACTTTTTATTTCTTTTTTGTTTTTAGGTGCTATCGAGTCAGTTCCAACTCATGGCAACCCTGTGTACAACAGAATGAAACACTGCTGGGTCCTGCAGCATCCTCACAATCGTTGTTATGCTTGAGTCCGTTGTTGCATTTCATTTCGTTGAGGGTCTTGCTCTTTTTTGCGGGCCCTCCACTTTACCAAGCATGATGTCCTTCTCCAGGGACTAGTCCGCCTGATAACATGTCCAAAGTATGTGAGACGAAGTCTTATCATCCTTGCTTCTAAGGAGCATTCTGGCTGTACTACTTGCAAGACAGATTTGTTTGTTCTTTTGGAAGTCCATGGCATATTCAATATTCTTCGCCAACACCACAACTCAAAGGCATCAATTCTTCTTCGGTCTTCCTTATTCATTGTCCCGCTTTCGAATGCATATGAGGTGATTGACAACACCATGGCTTGGGTCAGGCGTGCCTTAGTCCTTATAGTGCTTTTAATCAGGGGAAGTTTTCAATATTTCACTATTGTCAGTAGATTCCTTGTAGTTACCTTATATAATATGAAAGAAGATTCCTCTAAGTATGGCGAGCATATTTACACAAGTGGGTGTTGAATTTCATCAAATTATTTTTCTGTGCTTATTGTGATGATAGTATGTTTTATCCTTTATTTTGTCAATGTAGTTAATTAAACTGATTTTTCAAATAAGAAAACAAAGTTGAATACTTGGAATAAGAACTTCTTGATAATAATATAATATGGTTACCTATTATTGATTGGTACTGTTTAGCATTTTTGTATGTGTATATGGGAGATACTAGCTTAGAAATTTACTTTCTGTTAACACTGTCAAATTTTGGAATCAATAGGGTATTGGTCTCGTAAAATCAGTTGGGAAGTGTTCTATTTGAGACAGAGTAAGTATAAAATTGATATTATCTTCTTTTAAACATTGGTAAAAATTCTTCTGTGAATCCATCTGGGCCAGGAGTTTTTGTTGTTGTTTTTAAGTCTTTCAGTTATCAGTGTAATTTCTTTAATGGACATTGGGCTATTTCATTTTTTAAAAAATTCTTTGTCAGTTTTGACAAGTTGTGTTTCTTAAGGAATTTGACCACTTTATACAGTGTCAACTTTACTGACGCAAAGCTGTTCATAATATTCTTTGAGTATCTTTTCAGTATTAGCAGAATCTATAGTGACACAATCTTTTCATTCATTTGTTCCACATGTATCTCACACTCTTTTTTAATTGTTGTTTTCTGTGCTTTAGTTTAGAACTTTCTATTGATTTGACTTCAAGTTTACTATTGCTTCCCTGTTTGTCTATTCTCCTACTAAATCTAGACAATTGAGTCTGATTTTCTCAATGTTTTTCATCTTTCATCTATTTAATCCATAATGCTCTATTTTGTTCAACATAACGGTCACAGTGATTTTAGATTCCTTGTATGCTAACTCTAATACCTGGTCAATGTGACTCAGATAATTTCAATATCGGAGTCCCTGTGAGTCTGCTTCTATAGCATTTTTTTTCTCATTTTTATCATCAATCACATTTTTTTCTGCCTCTTAGTATGTCTAATAATTTTTTTACTATAAGGCAGACATTGTGTATAATAGAACCGTGAAGGCTGAGATAGCCCTCTCCTCTGTTAGACAGATAAAATGAGAGGCTGCTTTCCTCAAACAATGTGGAACTTTTTTTTACAATTATAGTTAGATTCAGTACACCTCTGGCTTGTCAATGTCCTTTATGTATACCACTCTTCTGCTTTTAATTGATAACCTGGCAAGTCTCTCTCTTTCCATTCTTGAAAGACTAAAGGCATTTCAGTTATGCTTTTCTGATATTTTGACTTTAGTTCTTATTTTCATCCCGCTTTCCCTACCTCTGAAAGTTCAAACACTGCTAAAAATCCCAGTGGCTATATCATATGTGTGTTGAGGCAGGACCCTCTCCCTGTGGTGAGAATTCATCTCTGAAGTTGTCAAGATTACAGGAGAGTGCTCACTTTGGCAGCACATATACTAAAATTGGAAAGATACAGAGATTAGCATGGCCCTTGCTCAAGGAAAACACGCAAATTCATGAAGCATTCCATATTTTTATCGTTCATAGATTTTCTACTAGATTGTAAGCTCCATGAGCCGGATACCTTTCTTATCCCTAATTCCTGGCCAGAAGAAATATTAAAATAATAAGTGAAAAAAAAAAATGTTACAGCAGATTTTATTCTATCTTTAACATGGCCCTCCAGTATCCCCTGCATAGAGCTAGGGTGGAGAAATAGGAAAACTGGTTGCTTATCAGGATCCTTAAGTTTTTAGTTTGTCACCTCAGGTGTACATGAAAACCAAAGATTTATTGGTTTCTCATTCCCTCGATATATCTGTTTGGGCCAAATCTGATTCTCAGCAAATGTCTTCACGAAAGAAAAGTTCTGCTGACTTTTGTAAAAGATCTCTCTGGAATTCCAATTCATTTAGTCTGTTTCTTCTACCTTTATGTAATTTCTTTAAATTATGATTTTTATTAATTATCCAACTTATTCTTGTGGAACAAAGAATGCTAAATGACTTCAATGTCTTGCTATACTTTATGTAGAAGCAAAAGTCCTCTACCTGGATCTTAATAGCTGGGATTTCTCAGGGCTTCAGACTGAAGGCCCTCTTAGATGCCTTAGTTCTTTTACATTATCTCATCTTCATGACCCTCTTAAATTTATATTTCCAATCCAGATCTTTGAAGCTATAGATTGTTGTATAAAATGACTTACTTACCCTCTCAACTTAGATGTTACAAAACTATCACAGAACTTCTAAGACCAGAACTGACATCAGGGCTATTTTTCCTTGAACAGGTCTTCTTCCGTATCCTGGGGTATGATACTTTCAATAGTGTGAATTAGAATCATAGGAGTTATCCTTATCATTTCTTTCTACACAGCCCTCTATATCTAGTGCACTGCTCATTCTGATGATTTTACCATCTAAGCATCTCTTGAATCTATCCACTTTACTGTATCTCTATTGTTGCACTAGTACTGCTCAAATAGGGTGTTGCAGTTAACCTTAAAATTTTTCTTCCTCTCTTCGTTCTCGCCTTCCTCCAATTTATTCTTCACGAAAGGATCAACATTTTTTTTTCTTTTTGCAGAACTAAATCTAATTTTGTCACTTTCCTGCTTAAAACTTTTTGATGACTTCTCATTTATTATAAGATAGTCCGAAATCCTTACTAGTCTTTTAAAGCTTTATATGATTAGATCCCCACCTATATATCCACCTTTGTCTTGCAAGTCCCTGTCTTTCACATTCTATTTTCCATCCATAGTGGACCTTAGCTTCTTCTCATATCACAGCTTTCAAATATGTTTTTTCTTCCACTTGAAACACTGTTTGCTGCCCTACCTCTCCTGGATAACTTCTACTTATTTCTTAAATCTAGGTTTAATGTCACTTTCTTGGGAAAACCTTCATTAATTTTCCAAACTAAGGTTGACTCCTCTGTTATACATATTCATGGCCCTTTTTACTCCTCTTACATGTCACTTGCCTCATTTAAGAAGAGAATTATGGATATTTCCAACTGTTCAATAAATTAGCGTAATGAACCCCCGTATACTCAACACCCAGCATTAATGACTGACAACTTGTCAATCTTATTTCACCCACACTCACATGCAACTCCAAACCCCAGACTAGTTTAAAGCACATCCCAGACATCATATTATTTAATTGATAAATGTGTCAGTATGTATATAATTTGTAAGACTCTTTTAAAAAAATTCACGAACTATTTTCAAATCTAAAATTGTTAACAGTATTCAATGTTTACTTTGTAGAATCAAATATGTTCTTTCTCTCTCATTTGTTTGCATCAGAATAAAGCATTGTAATTGCTTAATATATCTAAGAAGACTTTTAATATATTGATTCCCCATACTACTTTCTGTAATTAGTATTTTTTTATCCTTTTTTTAAAACTGTGCTTCAGATGAAAGTTTACAGCCCAAGTTAATTTTTCATTCAAAAATTTATACACATATTGTTTTGTGACATTGGCTGCAATCCCCACAATGTGACAGCACATTCCCCCTTTCCACCCCATGTTCCCTGGGTCCATTCATCTAGTTCCTGTCCATTCCTGCCTTCTCATCCTGCTTTTGGACAGGAGCTGCCCATTTGGTCTCATATATTTGATTGAACTAAGAAGCATGTTCCTTACCTGTGTTATTTTTTGTTTTATAGGCCAGTGTAATCTTTGTCTGAAAAGTGAGCTTTGGGAATAGTTTCAGTTCTGGGTTAGCAGAGTGTCCAGGGGTGTAATTAATATTTTAAAGAAACCTAGCTTATTTGTCCTGTAAAGTCTCCCATGGTCTGAATTTTGCCAAATACATCTCCATGGTATAGTTTAAAAGGTCCCCTTTTCCTTTGTATTGTCTGTAAACTGGCAATTAGATTTAGAAGCTTGTTCGGATTCACATTCAGATTTTGGCAAGACATATATTATAGCCGGTCTTACGTACTTTCATTGGGAGATATATAATTTCCACTTATCTCTATTTTTGGAAGCACAATATTTGTTTATTATTTATATGTGCTATTATTCCTTTAATGCTAGTCTGTCCATTAGACTAAAATTCACTGTATACATAAAACAGTCATTTTTATTTACCACTGTACCCCAAGTGGCTAGCAAAGTACCAGGCACAAAGTTTATTTTCAGTACAAATTTAATTAAATGAATAAACAAGTACGTATTCTATAGGTTGTGTTGTTATGTATTTGGGTCTCCGAATTAATCTTGGTGAGCTGTATTAAGAGGCCTATGCCTGTCACTTCTTTGGCTGGCCTAAAAATTATGTCGCAACTTATGTTGATGAAGTCCTGATATGATTCTGAGTTCATATAATTGACCCCACATTTCATGTGTTTTAGAGACCTATAAGCTGATGAAGTTCCTTAAGGCATATCAATGTCTACCATTTTGTCCTTCCAGAAGCTAATTGTGGGAGTATGCTTCTCACCTACGTATTTTCTACCCACTCAAACTGCACCAAACATCTTTATTTAACTCTGCTGACTGCTAAGCTGACTAAAGTCAAGCCAACTGTGGCCCCTTGGAAATAAGTTTCTGATGTGAGCAACTACATTTTGGTGTAGAGGTTAGTAAGCTCATTTAAGTCTAAAGGTATATTTCTCCTTTATTCAGCAGATACAGATAATTTCTATAAATTCAGATTCAAGTAAAGTTTTTGTGTTTTTGTTGCTTTTACTTTATTTTCTGTTATTTGAGCCACAGACTGTCAACTTACACAAACCTAATTATTTTCTAACCTCCAATTGGAAATAATTTATACTTTTTGCCTTCATTCGCTCAGCCTTCAATAGAAGATCCAAATGCAAAACAGGCCTAGTACATACAATTTTAGGGCAATTCCACAATAAGTTGATAAGTCATGCAAGCAGAACTCATTCATCAAAAATACATTTACTTAAATCAAATTTGCTTTGTGTGCAGGGGGTAGTGGGTTGGTTAGCCAGCTCTTACTAAATAAGTTATTGAGCCTAGATTTCTTTGAAATGTAATATAAAAGCAGCCTATAGTAAAATTAAATAAAATCTCTATTTCTGGGCATAGTACATTGGAGGAAACGTGATTATAGCTCATCATCATATCATAAATGCTGAATTCGATCTGTCTGTGTATTTCAAAATAGATATAATAAACAGAGTTGAATGCATATTTTGTTATAATTCTTGATTTAAAAATGGTTGGTATGCTTGACTCCTGCCCACACCTCCTTTCTAGGTCTTTCTGCTACTGATAAATAGAAAATAATAATAATTTCACATGATGGAGACAAAGCCTTTAGTATTGACCTGAGTTCCTGACCAAACTTCCAGTATCTGAGATAATACCACTTTTATCCCTTTCTCCAAAGTGCTCTGCATTCAAGTGAAAATATAATTCCTAGATTTATAAATCACAGTGTCTCTGTAAATACTCAAGAGCCAATATATGTCCTGATTTGAAATAATGGATAGTAATAAGGGCAGGTCTACATTTCGGTCTGTGAACTGGTTATTTAAATAGTGTTCAGACAATTAGATGTGGACATTCCTTATGTACAGTGGCTAGGTGAATGGGCTTCAGAGGTGGGCTACTCCACCTTACATACTGGTCCACTCACTTCCTAGCTGGATGAACTTGGACCAGTAAGTTACCTTTCTATGCCTCAATTTCTTTATTTTAAAATGGAAATTATGTGTAATCTCTCCATATAACCCAATAATCGTTTAACAATTTTGAGGTAGGTATTTGGCAAGCTTGGCTAATATTGTTCTACCATGTTGCTTGATTAGGATCTGTGCCCTGAAGAAGTTCAGCCAACAAAACGTATTTTAAGTCAGAAAGAGTGAGAAAGTTTATTTAGGAGGCGTCCACCAGGAGTCTGACAGCAACGCAGGCTGTCTCTATGGAGTCTCAAAAGGCATTTTTACATTAGAGCTTATATATGATTTTTACAAAGGTTAGAATTGTCTTTGTATCCTGCAGATGGCATGGCCGGATGAGTTGTTAATTACAAGGTAATTACAAGATACTCTTTATCAGACTAAAGAGATACATGCTGGACATCTCCTTATCAGGCTAAATATATACATGTCAGGCATCTGGGCTCTAATCTTCCTGTGGGGGATCGTAAGGCATAGGTGGCTGGACAAAACAAAACAAAGTCATTAACAAAGGTATGCAGAAAGGAGAGGGCCGGCAAAAAAGAAAAAAAGAACTTATAGGTTCATCATGGTGTTAGTTATGTCAAGCTCTCAGTTGCCCATTTTGAAAAGGAGAAAACATGCTGGGAGTATTAGGATCACAACCAGCTTAAAACACAATTAAGAGCAATGTTATATTTCAGCCTGAAGTTTCCCTGAGAGTGTTCCCTGCAGACTTCTAACTATGGGAGCATGATTGAGTCAGGGCCTTGGCTGCTGCACTCTGAAATCCAGCACTGTGTTCGTGAAGAGGCCACACTTCCCGAGGACTGCTCCCGGCTACAGACAGAGCAGGGATATGAAGGCAGACTCGTTCCTGGGAAGCATG